CATATATTTTTATGTGGGTATGTTAGGCAAGAAAGTATAATACATATTACACTGAAAATTAAATAAAAAAAAATCATCCCTAAGACAATATCGATGTGAACTAGCTTCCTCCATTTTTAAAATGTCTTAAATACGATAATTGCAGTATATAGATGGTCTATTATTGTAATTCATAAAGGTAGTGCTATCTCTACAATATTTAACTTTAACTATAACAAATACGCTTCAAATTTATAGTATACTAGCGACTCACCATCATTTCGTGTTCGTCCATAGACACAAACTAATCTATCCCACGGGAGCCGTACATTTATCCGGGAATAAAAGTAACCTGTATGCTATTCCAGACTATAATCTATGTCTGTGCCAAATTTCATCCAGATCTGTTCAGCCGTTCTGGCATGAAAAGACAAACATCCATCTATCCATACTCACAAACTTTGACATATATAATATTAATTAGCATGGATTAGTGTAACGACAAAGAGTAATTTTAAAATAAATAAATGTAAACGTTAAATTACATGATGTTTTAGACGATTTAAATAATGAGATCATTGTCAAATATCTTCCGCCTTTTCTATGGCTCAATCGAAAATGACGATCGAGTCTGATGAATGGTTCAAAGGAGTTTCGTTTGATCGTCTGATAAATATTGTGGGTGTAGTTTTGGAATTCGGGAAGACTTGTTAATGGCAGTCTTTGTTTCTAACGTTTTTGAGATTTATTGATTTGATTTTTCTTTCTTTTCCTTTTTGTTTGATTTTGTAGAGCATGTAGCTTCTACAAAAACAAAAGCATAGGCACTAGGATTACTTTTTGTCTATAATTTTATACATAATCTTGTTTCTATGTGACGTGTAATAGTGACAACAGTACATTCACTTCAAAATGGTTTTTATTATTTTATTATTTTCTTTCTTCCTAAAAATGTCTTATATATGTATATATGTATATATATATATATATATATATATTATGTTGTAAAGCAAAAGTATTAGTTTAAAGGACTTGATATTATAACGTAATCATAATAATTCAACTTTTTATTGGTCTCGTTACTGAGCACAGGCCTATTTGAGGGTATGCCTGTGAATGGCAGACATCCTCTAATTTTATTAATACTGAAGTGGTAATTATTTTAAAAATGCTTTTAATAATTCCGCTTTAAAAAGGCTTAACAGGTTTCACTTGGATTTTAAACCAATAGGCAGTTACTGCAATTTTAATTGAAAATCTAACGCACATTTTCCTGCTATTTTTGTACAATTCGTTTTATAAGGTAGTATTTATATGTATATATAAGGTAATAATTTAAACGTTAACTAACGAAGTTCATAATATTTATATCGAGCATATCTCGTAACTAGTGCTCACTTACCTAACTTACCATTAAAAGTAGCAAAGTAGCATTAGTAGTATAGAGAGTTTTAATGCTTCATTAGTAGAATTTCAGTTACCGCGGCATTCTCGACTCTCGTATACGAAACAAAAACGTCAGTTTAAAACATCGGAATGAATGACATACCACGCCTCGCACGATTAATGGTAGTGCTCGCACAAAAAGCAAGCATTCTCATTAATATATCAACTGTCTTTTTAGCACGGGAATAGTACGGTCAGAATGTGAAATTTAAATTGATTTCGTTAAACTCCCCGCATATTATTGCATCGTTAAAGCTTTCAAAAGTAATCGATTGCTTTCTTTGCTCGCGACACACGTACAACATACAGCTATTTGTATTATAATTATTGTAATATAACATTTTTATTGATACCAGTATCGTTGTCATAAATAATTATTTAAGGAAAATTATATTAATGACATTAATTAGTTATTTGTGTAATTTAATGCTATCCCTGAGCAGGGTAACTTGTCGAGGTATATAAAAATAACACACGCTTTAACATTTTAGTTTCGAAATGTCAAGTTTATAATGAATGTAAGTAATTTAATTGTACAATCGATTTCAATTTCTTGCTTATATACAAAATTATATTTACTCTTTAATTTTCTATTTAAAGCTATAAATTTTAAGCTGTGTGAAGCTTTTAATTTAAGCTGTTCTTTTGATAGTATAATAATGCAAGACAAAAGCAAATGTAGTTAAATTTTAAAACGTCGTATTTCTTTCAGAGCTAAAGACATGTATAACTCAATGAGCATCTGCACTCGATATCTCTTAGACAATTAACAGAGGAACGGTTCTCGTGTATGTATTTTTAAAGACGTAATTTAGATGCGGACAATTTAAGGACTGTTTAACATGTGACGATGGATGCTTGAGGTTTTATTTTGCTTACTAGCTTGGTCTATTTTATTATGTGACTGGAAGTCAAGTTTAAATATTGTAATGAATATATTTTGTAAATTCCCAAGAACAAGTACCTACGTATATTAATATTATTTATTTGAAAATCAACCAATCATTAAAATCAACAATAAACATATTTTAGAATATACATACATACGTAATATTATGTAAGTTAAATATAAAAATATGTTTCTTATAGTAGAGATAGATATGTATATGCTTTTGTTAATTACTTCATTTTAAAAAGAAACTTTTAAAGACATGTAATTAATGAAAGCTCCTTGAAATACAATTTCACGCAAAAGCTCTACATTTTCGTCGTAAGCGCACATCTCGCCTTATTTTTATTTTAGAGCGCCGGCAGCTTTGACGTCTAACACGACATTAATACTCATGAACTTTTTTTCGGCTGTCACATAATTTACTTTTTTCCTGCTTCTTGTGGGCCCATTAGCTATTAAGCGAGTCGTGGTGTTTGACATCGGGATTAATATGTTGAAATCGTAAACGCTGTCAACATAAATATAGTATGATTCTCAAATACTACTTACAAGTCAATTTTCTATCGACTGGTAAAGTTAAACTAGTCTCGATGTGCATTCAAGACTTGCAGTGATTTTAAATAAAATATGTTAATTTTGACGATTTAACTATGTAATATATGTAAAAATAATTGCGTATACCAATTTGTTATTACACGACGACATCCAGTTTCCTGTGTATGAATATTTAATTGAATCGCGTTAATTAATAAGACCTTCTACATATTTTTATTGTAATTTGAGTGCAAATATTTTTATTTACGATATTATTATTATAATTAATTATATGTACACGTCAATTATTATGAATGACAACATACACTCTCAAATAGATTTGCGTAAGCCGTCTTATCTCACTGACCATTAACTATCGACTTTCTAACGCCCGATCGATCAATCAACTCATAAACGTTAATTAGTTCCTACATATTAATTAGTATTGATATGGGCTATAAACGACTTTTATCAGTTATTAGTTAAAAATACAATAATTTATAAAGATTAAGTGATTCGTGTTATCAATTTGTTTCCCGTTATGCCACGACCGGTCGTAGTAATGAGTGTTGAGCTTTAAATTTAATCCAATTAAAAATACAACATTATTTTTTATCTTAAATATTATGTTACTTGTAGAAGCGTTGGGCAGAAGCATTAATATTATATAATTAGCCTTTGCGTACCTTTAGATTTTATCGTTACCATAAATATTTGTTATTATATCTCTTTCACATCTTAGGTATATTCACAAATTAAGAATACTCTATGTATACGGTATGATTGTATTGCGAAAAGTACTTCATATATTTGTTTCGGAATATAGCTCTCATGCGTTTGCGTAAACCTTTTAACGAATGAATTGACCTTTACTGTATTGATCTCTACATACTTTACAGATTGTGGCTCTATACACAATATGGGGTCAGTTTGAACAATAATAGATATTGTGCAGAATTACTAGTGTTAACCATGTATTAATATAATCATGTTTAACTTAATCATTATGTTGGTAAATTGGTCCCAAATATTTTTTTACTTTTCATAATATGTTATCTCGTATGTGGGCGACACTCGAAATCTCGGTCAACCGGTCTCGGCAATAAAATTTCAAATTTGCGTATTAATACTTGCTTTATTGTTAAATAATTTAAAATTACTTTGTATAGATGTTATCTTCTTTGGATCGCGGTTCGTTTCCTTCGTTGTTTTTTTTACGATTTATTGAGAATGGATCGGCATTCCATAGAGACCTTTAGTTATTGAGTTGTAATATAAGGCTTTTAGAGGCTACATTGACTTAAGTTAAAAGGATAAAAATCATTTTGTTATAGGTACAATGGCTACTTGAGAAAAATTTAAAACAATTAGGTAGTTGAAACAATATTAATAACTTTAAAATCGATTTAAATTAAATTGATTTTAAAATCGATTTCTAAAGCCTTTTCATTGATAATTTAAAATAAATGCACAGAAGAAAATAAATTGTTTATCAATTGTAATTCAATATACTATTTCTATACTCTATTATATATTTTCGTTCATTTTCACTGTACATAATCCTACTCACTTAATTAGATGTGATTTATTTTTTTTAAATTCGTGATAGTTAAGATATAACATATGAGATAATCGCCATTTGTATTATGCCTGAGGCGAATTTTTAATAATATCTATAAATCTTATATTTACAGGTTAATCAAGTAATTTTTTTATTTTAAAATATGTATTTACCTATAAGTTTCCATAAATCTCGCCATTTTTAAGAGAAAATCAGTTAGATTTACAACTATCTTTGCGATATAATTTGTCAAATAGGATAGGATTTCTTCTAAACGGCATCGAATTCTTGATACCAGCGTCAATAGTTATGTTACATTAGCACAAAAGAAATCCTATCTTAATAAATCTAATTGATTATAATATAAATAATACTAATCTCATTATTATAATATAAATAATACTAATCTCTACGTTTTAGCGCTGACAAATAACTCTTAAACTTTAAAATATTAGTATAGATAAGACATTACAAAAAAATATTAACTTATTTTATATTTATATATTAAAAATAAAGTATAGGATTGTTATTGCTATTATTAATAACTAACAAGTTATTCAATGTACTAAATAATATTTTCTTTACCAGATGCTAACGGAGAGCCTCCCAAGCTGAAATGCAATTTGCGCAAGCACAAACCTAACCGCAAGCCCAGAACGCCCTTCACTGCACAACAACTACGTGCCCTAGAAAGCAAGTTCGTTGACAAGCAGTACCTGAGCATAGCCGAGCGAGCTGAGTTCTCTTCATCTCTTGGCTTATCAGAGACACAGGTTCGTTGAATATAGTTTTTGTTCAAGGTTTCAGTATTAACCATAAAATTCGAATAAAATATAAAAATACTCTCATAATAATTGTCTATTTGTGTACTAAGTTTTATCCAAATCCGTTTAGCCATTTGAGCTTGAAAGTGTAACAAGCAAACACACATACAAACTTTCGCATTCATAATGTTGCCCGATTAGGCTATACTTTAGATGATGAATCATTTTTATCTGATGATTAGAAAATTAGGCATATTAAAAATGTCGTTTTAGTTTGGATTTTTTATGTTTGTTGATTTGCACGTGTATTGTATGAATGTAAGCAAATCGATTTGCACGATGTTTTATTATTTAGCTAACTTTTAAACATTGCTTTTGTTTTGTTAAACATCGAATTTAATAAACTTAGTTTTCACATAAAATAAACTGTTTAGAGAGAAACTTATTAGTTAAATGGATTTAAAATTATTTTATTTCAACGGTTTCTTTATTACTAGTAATAATTATTGTGATTATAATCAATATACCGATACTACTTTGTTACAAAATGCTACGGTAGAGAAAAGTCAATTAAAACTTTTAACGCTCAACTCGCGTTACACCTTTAACAAACCAGTTCTTTCCTTCGCTAAGTCATAAATATTAAATAATGAGTAAAGTTTTATGCTAATTATTAATAATATGTAGCTACTAAGTTATCATGTGTTATTTAACAGCATGACTTATGATATTGATGTAAATAACTCTAAAAGTACTTATAATCATTTAGGTTTATGAAAATCAATCGAAATTAAATTTTAAATTTATTAATGGATTTTTGATTCGAAACGTGTATTTTTTTGTATGATAATAACAATGTGTTTGTCTACAGGTAAAAATCTGGTTTCAAAATCGTCGTGCGAAAGCGAAACGTGTGCAAGAGGCTGAAATAGAAAAACTCAAGATGGCTCAGTTCTCTCGCCACCATCACCATATGTACCCTCATCCCCTACAGCAGTACTTCCCCCATCCGTTAATGGGAAGGCCTTTACCACCAATGATGCCACCTCACTTGGCAATGCAGTCTGTGCCAAGTTCGCCGTCGCCAAGCACACAAACAAGCGGACAACAATAAAATTATTAGTGAAGAGCAACCACCAAAATATAATTATAGATTCAAATCTTTCGTTGTAATACATAAATCCACTGTACAAGTACATAAATAGTATTATTTATATACTTGTATTGGTAATATTTACCTACCAAAAACCAATGAATATGACTTTTATGCAACTAAATTCTTCTAAAAAACCTTAGCTAATGATTTTGGAGGATTATTAATAATATAAATATATGAAATATTCAAAATTTACTAACCGAAACATGAATTAATTGAAATTTCTGTAGTCTCGAAACAATATTAGTGTTCTTCTCTGTCTCGTTAGAATTTGAAATGTGAATCGATGTAAATTATTTTGTAAATATAACTCTAAGGCAACGTATTCTATATGATTGTTATATTATTTAAACTATGAATACTTCATAATATTATAGCACCAAAATATAGGAATTGTAAAAATTTATTTTTAGTACAAAATTATTCTTACGCCAATTTTCAGAATTTGGACTGTTTCAATATTGTAAATAGAAATTACTTGTAAATTAATATTTGTATTTGTGTAATAAATATATTAAAACCTGATGAATTAAGAAAACCTCTTTTAATAATCCTTAGTTCTTTTTAAAAGGCTATCAACCTAGTAGAGAATGGACAGCAATACTCTCACGAAATTAACCACTCAAGAACGAGAGAAAACGAACTTGCGGCCAATACCTGTCTTTTATTCTAAATTGAATAAATAAATACATAATATTAATAAACTAGAATGTAAAATGGTTATAAATATCTAAATTCGTTAATCGTATTTCTATTAATACAGACGACGACAGGCCGCACATTCGTTTTATCTTTGTCGCGCTTTCCCGCCATTTTTAACTAGCGGCTGGCAAAGAAACACTCAGTCCATTCTCTATTTCTATGAGTTCAACATAGGTGAGAATCTATCAGGTGAGGGGAGCCGCCGGGAAATTTTTGTTAAATAAAAAAATATATAAATATTGCACAGTAGATCAATATTTAAATAGACATAACACACTAAATAGACAGAAATGGTATTTAATATTTTTTTCTTATTTACTGAGTTGGCAAATAAAAGTTTTTTCGCAAAAAAGGATTTTTCAGCTTATTATAAAAATAAGAGTAGGTAGTCTAATTTTTTGTGTAGTTTTCAGAGAAAACAAAATATTTTTTTGATAATTTTCCATTTCATATATGTATTAAAAGAGATTAAAAAATACATACGTATCAAAAAAAATATTACAGACTACGCATAAATTATTCAAAATGTAGTTCCACATTACCAAAGGTGTAAAATTAAAATATTATTTGATAATTATCGTAGCTTCCTTAAAATAAATATTAATAGAAAGGGGCATTAGCAAGATGATCTTATCAAAAGTTTAAGTATTTACCCTTCTAATAAATTATATATATAAAAATGTTTAAGATAGAGGTTTATAACTATTTCACAGTTAACAATTACAAATACGGAAGTTTGTATGTCTGTATGTTTGTTACTCTTTCACACTGAAACGGCGGGATTTGGATCAAATTTAGTACCTACCCATACAGACCTAGTCTAAACTAGACTTTATCTAGTCTGACTAGACTGTTTGAGGTATGTCGCAAGTATGCTTTATATTTTTGGCTTGTTCTTTCATGCAGCTAAAAGCTTTTGCTGTGATATCAGACTACCTATATTTACAGGCTTTACAAGCTTTAAGCTTTAGAGTAAAACAAGGTTGCTTGTACAACCGTAAAGTGAACAAATCCGGGACAAACCATTAAGTGAATATTAATTGAGTCGAGATAACGTGGAACTGACGTAATTATCGTTGTTACAGCGTGATCCGTGATTTTTCAACTAACTCGAATTATCGCTAACGATTGCCGATAACGGTTATGATGTTGTCATATAAGCGTAGACCACTAATTTAAATAAACCTATTAAAGTTAATTGTCTGATAGCAAGTGGGGTCGGGTTAAATAATATGTTATGATATTGCGATACAGTGTGTTCCATTTTTTTGTATAATCAATGCAAAATTAAATATACAATGGCTAACAATCCAATTAAAATTGCATTTGAAGTGTTTTCCATTAAAAAACTAATATTGTAAGAAAAGTTTCTTTAACTTATTACTGTGACTTCAAATTTTGTGTATTAAGACCTAAAGTTTGGCGGATCATCCTGTATAATATAACATTATAATATTTAGCCTAATATATTTTTTTATCACTGTTTATGGCAAATGGATTACCTACATCGAAGTCGTTTGTTCTAGTTATACACTGTTTTGTTTTTATCACTAAAATCATATATGCGAATATGTGTTAATTTATCCTTCTTGCATTATTTATTATACACAGTGTCTAAATTCGTTTCATGGGATATCAGATGGCTGTGAAATATCTTAAAGACAATTAAGGTAATTTAGTTTACAATTAATCTATACATATAATAAAATTGTAACTAAGCCGATTCTGTAAATTAAATATTTTTTGGAAAATCTAATTGAAATAAACATTATTAAAGATACAGAGACCGAATCTATAGTTTTTAGAATTTTTGTCTGTCTGTCTGTCTGTTACCGCATCACAGAAAACCCACTGTTATTACTATAAAGTAACGTCATTAAGTATATGTAGTAATAGGAGTTATTTTAAACATAGCACTTATTTACATTGAACCAATATCTCAGCAACATCTCGCTACAACAGAGAAGAAATGTACCACAGCAATACACTGTCTGCTCTTCATTTAAAACTAATTCCATTTACGTATCATTAAGCACAAATGTAAAACACTCATCGCTTCACTTCGAGCTAATTAATCTGGCGAACTGTGTTCGCAATTACTCGTAATTAAAAATAACTTATTAATTTCAAAACGGGTGCTCTTAATTGCTCGAATTAATCACATTAATGTTGCATGCCTGTTAATTTTCAGGCCACAGGCGTGCTTTGTGCTCGAGATCGGCGGTTTGGCCTGAAACGCTTGATGTAAGGGAGGATGCACACTATGTAGAAAAATGAGATTTATATTATGCATTTTTTATGTTTCACTTATAGCTAATACGCTAATGATTTCTAAAAAATTGTAGCGATAACGGAAGGTCCAAATATTAAATATTTACTTAGACACGGAATGCTTAAATATGTGATAAAATTTCGTATATATAAATGACATTCAATAACTACAAAACCAAAAGAAAGAAAAACATAATATGCTAGATAATACAAATACCTACTGAGAGATATACCAAGCAGATAACATAAATACCTTCTCTAACCACAATCGCCAAAGCCAATTTCACTTTTCAACTTTCCGAAGCATGTTTGACTAATTTACTTTAAATGGTAAAATTCCGCCTTTATTACCCTGTCCACAATAAAATAAACAATATTCTGTCTTAATAGTTACCAGAAGCAAATTAAAAATAATTATTAATAAAATTGTTTCATCAGTATAAAACGTATACTGTGTAAGTACTGCGTGGCACGCTCATTAGTTGCAATCCAAGCGTTCATCGTATAGCCAAAGAGGAGATCTGTCATCTCGTCCGCCATTCCTCATTCAAATGACTGAGACGAATTGGTCCCTAATCGTTCTATTTACTTTCGCTGCAGATGAGTGATTTCTTGCACTATAATTTATTTATTACTAGCAGAACCCACGGCTTCGCTCGCGCTAGAAGTACAAAAAAACTTAAAAAAGGCAGGCTTCATACAAACTTTCAAGCTCTATTTTACCCCCTTTAAGGGTTGAATTTCGAAAAATGCTAAAACACGTATTTATTTAATTGTATTGAAGAGCATTAATACCAAGTTTCAAGTAATTCTGATCATACATATTTTTTTCGGCTGTATTATAACGTGTTTTCCCGTGGGAAGTAAATAGTCTCCCGCTGCATAAAGTAGCCTATGTCACTCTCCAGCCCGCCAACTATATTCGCACAAAAAGTCACAACAATCCATCATTCCGTTTTCACGTGAAAGAAACAAACAAACACACTTTCACATTTATAATATTAGTATGGATGTAACACTTCAGTGAGAGACTACTTTTCTATTATAAAAATAAATATGTTTTCTTTCTTTTAAATAATACTTTTATAATTTTTGCAGATCCTTACATAATATCACTACATAGTATAAAACAAAGTCACTTTCTCTGTCCCTATATCCCTATATATGCTTAAATCTTTAAAACTACGTAACGGATTTTGATGCGGTTTTTTAATAGATAGAGTGATTCAAGAGGAAGGTTTTAGTATATAATTTGTTAAGCTTTTGTATATATTGGCTAAAATATAACGATATTTGTGGGAGGTGTCGGAAAAAATAAGACGTCTCGGAGCTTTCAACGAAAACGCTGCCTAAACCCTTTGAGATATAACAAAATAATGTATGGTGGAATTGTGTATCTTATATAGGTCTACAGAAAAGACCGCGATGGCATATGTCTATCTCTTAAGGATAACATACTATATCCATTTTAATTTAAAACGTACCTAGGGACGAACCCGAGCGAAGCGAGGGTGAGTCGCTAGTGTTAAAATAAAACACAAAAATATGTCGTTTCTCCTTTGGTTGCGTTAAAATACCGCATATAAAATAAAGCTACCTATTATTTTATAAGAGGAATAATTGAATCAATAATTGAAACACTTTTTATGAAAAACTCTGAGAAATGCATTTACGCATACCAGCTGCCTCCCTCCATTTATGCAGGTGGTTATATATTCACTCTTCAGCAACAAGAGTCTTTATCTTAAGTAATATCCATTTAACACTTTTCTTGCACTTTTACACTAAAACCTGGAAACCCTCGTCACGACATCCAAAATTAATATAACGGTAGGTTATCCAGAAAATATGTTATGCATGGGAAGTAGGTACATAAGACCCATTAAGACCCATATGACACTCTCTCGATGATAACTTCATTCGCCGACACCTTTAGAATATAACGAATGAACTAAAAAATATTTTATTTAAATAAATTTTTA